ACTTTGAAAAAACAAATCTAAGTTAAGGAGTTATTCTCTTTCAACCATTTTGTTTTTTATTTATGAGTTCCAATATTGAATGCTACAAATACGAATCATCCAAAAACAAACAAAAGCATAAGGGAAAACATCCATATAACTAGAATATACAAGGAATTTTCATTAATGTTTCTATATAAATGACCAACTTTAGTACCATATACTAATTCTCAATAATTTTAATAACCAGAACCTAATTTCATAACTCTTCTTGTCTATCTTAGGAACATAAATCAAATTGTGCATCATATTGGGAGCATACAAAGTATCAATAAATAAGAGATTTGTTCCTCCCGATAGACACAACTTATAAGTATCAACACTAAGTACATTATAATAGGTGTCATTCCCCATAGAATCCACTAGTTATTGGCTACAATCTTCTTCAAATCTATGAAATCTTTCCTTGGCCTTTAAAACATGTCGAGTGGAGGCTGAGTCGACCCACAAATTCCCCAAATCATAGTCAACAATCAATGATTTTGAGACTATACAAATCAAGTCCTTTCTCTGATTTTGATTATTGTTATTCGAGCATTATTATTATTTTAGTTCTTAAATTTTATTTTTCAACTTAGGAGAATTGGCTTTGATGTGACTAGCTTCCTTGCGAAAAAAACATGTCCTATCAGCCTGCTTCTTTAGATTTTTAAAATTTCTTCTCTTTCCCTTATACCTTTTATTATTTTTATTATTCCTTTATAAGAATAAAAATCAGAGAAATTTTGAGCAAAGTGGACCTCATTTGATTTCTGCCTCATTCTTCTTTCAACTTCAATAAGGAGGTGCAAACATGATGATCCTATGTATAGAGCGATTCAAAGTGATCACAACATACTACATGATGGAGGGAGATTGTGACACTTGCATGAGGTTAGGGATTGGATTCCTAGATGCAACAAGGTCATTTGTGAGAACTGTCATTTTGTTGACATGCTCGGTTATTGTGCCTGTTCATTTATCTTGCGAGAGTCATACTTTTCTAGCAAGAGTTGGACAAGGGTTCCAGAAGTCATCTTATACTTCCATATAAGGCACCCATCATGCTTTGAGCTATGGTACAGTTCTCAAATAACCTAATCAAATCATCTTCTATAACACTTAATATTATGGTCCTAGCTACTTTGTTATCTTCTAATTATTTTTCTAGTGCATTCTAGCTTGACCATTGGCATTATACCCTAAAACTGGTGAATTTGAATATAGAAAATGATATACCATATCCTGGAAGAGAATATAACTAACTTTTCTTTTCCACATAGAAAATAATTTCCATTAAGCTTGCCAACTTTTGATAACTCCACCATAACTAGCTTAGAAGCCCTATTATTTGTAAGTTATGAGGTAGAGTTGAAATGAAATATACGAATGCAAATAAAAGTAAAATAATAAGAATAAAAATAAATAAAAAATTTAAAATTAGATTTGAGCATAGAAAGGACTAACCTCTTTAGTCAAATTAAAGGATTATTGAGGTTGGGATTAGTAAAAGAAAAAAGCGGTTATTTTAGGCATTGAACTGCAGTAAATTGAGGCTTGAATTGTCTCAAAAAATAGCAACTAACTAGAGGGTTGCATATATTCCAATGTTTAGCTTTTCCTTGGAACATATGAGAAGATGACCCTTAAAATCTAAGGGATAGGGGAGTTATCCATTAACTTTTGGAAAGAGGCTCTCTCTCTCTCTCTCTCTCTCTCGAAAAATCCTTTTTATGATGAATAATAAATAATATATTAATTATTTTAAAAAAAATATTAATTAGGATAATAAAAAATATGTGGTACATGTGAGGCCCCATGGCCAATTACGAACAAACAATATGCATATTCAAGCATCATATGCCTTTCATCCAAGTTCCATATAATTTGGACTTCATTTAATAAATTTCTAAATGGTTGCAAGGATAACTTGATCGCCGGTGCTAGGGAAATCATATATGAGGCATGATATACATCTTCCAAAAGTTTCAGCTCATAACCACTCATCTATGTATAAAGGTTGTCAAGGTTTATATTCATTGGCTACCAAGTAAATGTTCATCAGACATGATGACTCCCAACTATTAAAATTGAGATTTCTCCCAATCTATAATGGGTTTTCTGATGAAACTTAAGAGGATTGATTACGAATCAATTCCTTGTCAAATATCAACCATGGGAAAACAATACTCATAGATAACCCATAAATCTCCCATTAAAAAATTGGAACTACGGTTGCAGCTTCAAAACTGTGTAACAATCTGACAGCCGGTCTGAGATATTTCCCAATGTACTTGGAGTTTTCTCATGAAAATTTGTGGTGTTCTCAATAAACTCCCCCATAAGAATATTGAAGTTTTGGGGTCTATAATCCCCAAGATGAAAGTAGTTGGGATCGCAATGGCTTGACTTGCTAAAATGATTCAACTTTGATTGGGTGTATCTCCCTCGTCACTGATTTATTTGTGCTTACATTTGGACAATTATATTCATCTCTAAGTCATCTATTAGTTTGTAAAAATTTTAGGTCAAAATGATTCACCATCAGGAAGTAGCACCATCTAGAAGCAAGTGTACTAACCCCCATTCCAAATTGATTGTCAGTGATAACAGATAATCATTAAATCTGATATTTTCTCAAAGGGAATCATTGCATCTCCAGTTGAATTCAGTTCAAATTTGAGCTAACTTATCCTCATAACAACATGAATTAGTTCTAGTTCAAATTCAAATTAAAGCCCATCCTTATGATAACTTGATATAGTTTGAGTTTAAATTCAGATTGAGTTTATCCTTTTAAGATCTTTTTATAGAGGAATGGCTGCAACCTACCGATATTTGATAAGCTCAAAGTCTAACCATGTTTATCATGAACATATATCTATAGATACCCCATTAAATAAGTGGAAAGGGGAATAATCCTATAATAACCAAAATAGAGAGATGCTCTATTTTCAGACATTTTTTACATTCTCTAAGTGAGGCCAAGACCACACAATATTGCTTTGAAGTCTTACTGTCTGTGAGAACCATATGAAGACAGAGAAGATACGTGACCCAGACACACTTGAAACACTAGATTGTAGATATATATATATATATATATATATAAGATAATACAAAATGCCTATTGATTTCGCCTATCCTCATCACCGTCAAAAGTTCATCGCACGATCACAGTTGTCCAGTAGTGTTTCATTTTTCATTTTTTTTTCTATAAATCAGAATGTCTTGAAATTTGGAACGTGCATTTATAAAAAATAGACAAATCTACGAAAAATATCAAAACAATATTTTACATGAAAAATTGACCAAAAATACCCCCCGAAAAGATTCAAGTGTATTTTTCATTTTTTTTTTCTATAAATCAGAATGACTTGAAATTTGGAACGTGCATTTATAAAAAATAGACAAATCTACGAAAAATATCAAAACAATATTTTACATGAAAAATTGACCAAAAATACCCCCCGAAAAGATTCAAGTGTATTTTGGTCAATTTTTTTTTGCTAATTTTTTTTTTTATATTTTTAATAGGTGTGGCTCACTAAGATGTATACACACTCTAAATTTCAGATCATTCCGATTTGGAGAAAACAAATGAAAAATGAAACACCACCGGACAATCGTGACGTGCGATGAACTTTGAACGGTGATGAGGCTAGACGAAATCACTGTTCATTTTCACCTATAGTGGTTGATGAAAAGTGATTTCGCCTACCCTCATCAGCGTCCAAAGTTCATCGCATGATCACGATTGTCCGATAGTATTTTATTTTTCATTTTTTTTTCTACAAATCAGAATGACCTGAAATTTGGAGTGTGTATTCATAAAAATAGATGAATCTAACGAAAAATATAAAAAAAAATATTTTATATGAAAAAATTGATCAAAATACCCCCAAAATGTTTCAGGGGTATTTTGTTACTTTATTTTTTGTGAAAAAATATTTTTTATATTTTTATTAGGTTTGGTCACTAAGATGTACATACGCTCTATATTTCAGGTCATTTGGATTTGTAAAAATAAAAATAAAAATAAAACACTATCGGACAATTGTGACTGTACGATGAACTTTGGACGGTGATGAAGGTAGACAAAATCACTGTTTATTTTCCCCTATAGGTGTTGGGAAGACCAACTCAAGGTTTCAAATAAGTGGAAAGCGACGTGTTCCTGCTAGGTAAAAGACCTACTTAAGATTCAAATCAATTGAATGTCCGAAGTTGATTTCCATGAAAAAAACCAACAAAACCAACTTTGACCTTGTAGGTTCGAAATTGATCTTTGAAACGTCAAAACCTCAAAGACCCAAAAGGAATTTGTTAGATCATATTGAACTTTAAATCTTTAAGATTCCGAGTATGAACAATTCGAAGATAAATAATTTTTTTAAAAAATGAGCCGGAACGTAAGATTAAAGTTTTTAAAAGGCGTTGTGACTGATAAGAAGTAAGTTATAAGAACATCAGCATAAATATTTTTAAAATTTTTTTACCATCATAAGGACAAAAAAGAAGTGCTGTTCAGGCATCCCAACCGCCTCACGCGCCAAGACTACCTATTCTAGCGGGGTTTTAAAGTGCGGCCTTTCTTCTTATGGTACAACCTAAGCCTTTAAGTTAAACGCCACAAGTAATTTTAGGACATTGTTTCAGTGAGTCAGCAGACACACTTATTACCGTGCAGTCCCTCGTCTATCAAACGTCCATGTCTAAGATGGATGTCAAAAAATGTTATGTCCAGAGGTTATAATAGACGGTGAGAAAAGGAATTCAAAAAATAATATTCTTACATTTTGAAATTTAAATAATTTTCATGGTTGTGATTATCGAACCTTAAAAATTTTAATCCAAAATTTTGGTTGAAGAGTATTTTGTAGGGAGAGTGCACAAAAATAGTGTGGGTCGGCCGACTCAGCAAACACTTCTCCAGTAGTTTAAGTCAGGTCCAGTACATGCACAGGCAAGCCCGAGGAAACGTGCCGGACATGGACTCCTCGTATACACACGCCACCAACGCTAAACGCAGGGCGCGTTTCGCTTAGCCTACCTCTCTTCATCATGCACGCCTCTTGTTGGGGAACTCCAGCTAAAAACTTTTCTCTCTCTCTCTCTCTCTCTCTCTCCTTCCCCACTTGAAGAAGCCTCAGCAATCTAAAGCTCTGATAATTCGAAGAACCCTAACTCGCACATGAAATTGGGAACCTAGGGTTTCGTAGCTGCTTCTTCAGTAGACCATGGCAATTTCCTTCGTAGAGTCACAATGGAAGTGAATGATTCTGGGTTCTGATTTAGTCTTATAACTAGCTCGTTGTGATTTTCTTCGTTTGAATTAGCGCACAGCCAGGAGGATTCCAGCGTTTTGATCTGGTTTGTTTGGGAAATTGTTGCTTCCTGTGCAACTAAGGGTATGGAGATCCTCTCGTTGCTATGTGGATCGGCTTGGTTCAGCGGGCAATAATTGTTGGATTTGGTCTGAAGGGGTGATTTTTCGAGGGATCCTTAGTTGCTTCAGGGTCTCAACGCCATGGCTGATGCTACGTCGCTTATTCCAGCAGCGGTTCTTAGGAATCTCGCAGATAAGCTTTATGAGAAGAGGAAAAATGCTGCTCTCGAGGTGAGCTTCTGTTTGCTGTTGTTTTGATCATTTCATCTTGAATTACCCTTGAAATTGGGGTTCGTAGATCTGGCTTATGAAGCGTATGAAGGGAATTAGGTGTTTTTGTGCTATCTACGGATGCCTTTCCTTATTTTGTGAATAAATTTGATGTTTCATGGGAATATTTGAGCCATTGAATTTTCGTTTTTTTTTTGACTAGTTTTCGTTTTCTTTTATATGCTAATAGAGTAAAGTAGGTAAATTTTAGTTTGTTATCTGGTTCCTCTGAAACCTGATGTACAATCTCATGCAATTATTGGTGCCACTGCATGAAAAAGAATCCGATGGTCTGAGCTTTAGAGACATCAGTGATTACAGTCATTATTCAAGGATTAACAGAATCATAAAGAAATTTCTCCACAACGTATTGTTGTTATTTTTTCTTTCATTGATCTTAATCCCTTTTTTTGTGTTGCTGCTGCTTTCCCTGTTGTATACTGTTTGATAGTGTATCTTGTAGAGTTAATTGTTTTTATCATATCTTATTTGATAGTTTTGATTACTTCTGTTGATGAATCTGTTAAGCATAATAAAGCAGATAACTTTTTTGTTTTCATCTGTAGTTGTATTTTTCTCCCCCTCTTTAGGAGCTTAAAAATAACTCTGAACATTAATTTGTGTAATTAAGTTCCTTTGGATGAGTGCCTATCATTCGTTTCGTTTATTTTTTTCGATGGCTACCTATTATTTATCTGCTAAGAAGCTCATGGTTGCAGAGACCATTTGTGGACCTACCCATATGGGAGTATGGGTTGTTTGCAATTGATAATTAATGTACTCTGGCATGCTCAGATGAATGGTCATTCTTGTCAAACTAATCCTGCAAGGGCAATATGTTCACTCACCCACACTTGCTTATGGTAAAATACGTATGGTAGGATCACAGGGCACTGATACTATCTCATTAAACCTATAGTTAAGTACCGGATCGGTGGGTGTTCATTTAAGGTTATCCAAATAAATTTCCACTGATTAAAATTTATTCCATCAATTCTCAAAAGAAGTTATTCAATCAATTAATTCTCTCTCTCAAAAAAAAGAAAAAATTGAATAAATTATTTGTTTATTTGTTCATTGAACTCTGTGCATAACACATGTCCATTTAACTCTTATGTATAAAGCATGTCATCTACTTGCTTGAGATTTCTGAGGAATTGTATCACTATACTCATAATTTTTGCTGTGAAGTTGTTAGTTGACGCATTTGTCTACTACAGGTTGAAGGGATCGTCAAGCAATTTGCTGCAAATGGAGATCATGAAAAAATTTCAGCTTTGATCAATTTGTTGACAACTGAATTTACGTATTCACCACAAGCAAATCAGCGAAAGGTTTGTACTGGAAGCAAAATTATGATTGGTTTCTATATTTGTTCGACAGGCATACCACTTTGTGTTCATGTACAATTGTGCATACTAATCGATACATCATTTCTAATAATGCATCTTATGTACTAATGGTTACATGCACATGCATTCAAAGACATGCTTATTTAGTTATATGTGTTTGCTCTTAAGTGGCATTGGCACCCACCCTTTTCATAAAATGCAGAGCCCTATCTATCCTCACATATGCATCTATTTATATTTTCACATGTGGACCTATGAACTACGCCCTATACAGGTACATATGTCATAGAAATACATTAGACATTATTGGACTTTCTTTTTCATGGATCTATGCATAAGCATAAACAATGAAATTGAAGCAAAGATTTTGTTTAGGACTAGTGCATATTCATGTAGATGCATGGTCTATTTTGTATGTATCGTTATCATCAGGACCTATTGGTTGTCAAGCCAAAGACGGGTCTAGTCTGGTTTGTTGAACCGGGGACCAACCAAAAGATAAATAAAAAAGCAAGGAAAAGGAAAATTTAAAATATGCGACTCAACAGTGAAATAGTAATGATGACATTATCACTAGCAGTGTTTAGAAAATCTACTAATGGACTTGTGGAGCCTTAGCTGAGTCTGATTAGACTTGGACGGATCTCATGTTGTTTTTGTATGCGTGTGTACATGCGTGTGCTATGAGTAGACTGAGCTGAGTCTTTTCGAGTTGATTTGGCATGGCCTGTGTCATGTATCTGTTGTGTGTGTGTTATGAAAAGACTCGGCTGAGTATTTTTGAGTCAGTTTGGAATGGGACTATGTCAAGTCCCCGGTCGAGTCTGCGTTTTTCAACATTGGTGAGTACTACTACTGCATTGTCTTTGAGTGTGACATTAGTCACTTGTTATACCTAATAGTTTAGTGAAATGACTCAATTGTCAAGTATATGAAGACTATAACTTAATGAGTTTCTAGTTTCCTGCCTTCGACGACCTCATGGGGCACAAAAAATATTCAATAGAAAGTTATTTACATTACACCAAGAAAAGTTCCATTTGTCAGTAACAAACAATAGCTGAGATTTCAGATGTTATATTTGTTGATAGGTATATTACCAATACTAAGAAAATTTAAATTTTTTACTATAAAATCTTATTATAAGGTTTATTGACTCAAGATTCCCATTAAAGTCCTCAGTGGGGGTAATATTCTCTATGTTAGCATTTATTGTTATCAGAGAATTATAAAATTCAGTTTATGGTTATAAGAAAGGAGTGCAAAGCATGCCCAGCTTACAAAAAACTAGTACAACTAGCTGGTCTGGCTTGTTGGCCACTGGTTTTGACAAATTATTGGGATTAATATGTGACCTGACTGTCATAAGGCCAAATCCTGGATCGAACAATTCAAATCAGCTTGACCAGTATGGTCCTTTTACACTAGTTTGTATGAATATGCACGTTGTCCACATCTGGTCTCGTTAGTAGTCTTTATTTTTTATTTTTAATCAGAAAGATTGGTTTTTCTATTTCTTTGAGCATTCTTTTTGTTGAAATTCCTCTTGAGTATTTTTTATATAAATTTCATTTTATTGATCATATGCATTTAGTTGATGCTCAATGCTTACGATGTCTTGGAGTGGAAGTGAGTAGCTGCCTTGTTAGGATGTATTCTATTAGCAAACAGGTAGGGAGCAGGGTTTGAAAAATTGACTTAAGGGTGAAACTTGGTTCCTGACTTGTCTGAGTGACTTGGGTGAGACTGAGTGGATTCACTTGAGTTTGCCCTGAGTGAACCGGAACCCTGAGTGAACCGGAAGGCCTGAAAAATATTTAAAAATTGAAAAAAAATTGGGGTTGAGTGGATTCACTTGAGTTTGCCCCGAGTGAACCAGAAGGCCTGAAAAATATTTAAAAATTCGGCAAAACATCCTCAGACATCCCAAATCAAAACCCTTAACCAGATTAGCTATTCGAATTCGGATTTGGTTTGATCTGAGCTCTAGAAAATTTCAGTGAACAATAAATCTGAAATAAAATATCGAAGTTCTAGATTATTATTATTATTTTTTTTGGGTGAGAAAGAAGCCCATGATTGGATTAAGAACTCAAAAAATGGGCTTAGGAAACAAATTTCATCAAAGATTGTCCAACCTTCGGGAAGAATTCTTTACTTTTGGAAATCAGGCAGAGCCTACGTCGAAAATCTTCAATCTTTCAAATCCGTCACATTTGATGGTTTTTTCTCAAATCTGATCTATGTTGTATGGCCAAAATTTGGACTAAAATGGGTGTCTCCATGATGAAAAGCAAAGAAGAAAGGGGGCAGATTTCGGCCTCTCATCATATTTCTGTGTTCTTGTCGAACTTGGCATGATTTGATGGACGCACGAAGTCCATAAAAAACTTGCACAAGCTTCACAGTACTGGGGCCTGTTGCTACAATAACTTGCCCGAATATTGTAGAATTTATTTAACCCCCCGAGTTGGGGGTTTTACAGGCTCGGCACCCTGCCAAGCAGAGTGACTCGGGTTGGTCTGAGCAAACTCACGTGAGTTTGCGAACAAAGTTTGGGAACAATCAATTCCCTGTAAATGATTTTTCACAAGCATAATAAAATGTATTTATACTTGTTTCATTGCTGTCATCGATCTTTCATGCTAGAATACTTGCTTCAATGGAAATTTGTGGCTTTTAGGATAGATTGCCACTTTTGCTTGTGATCACATATGTTATGCATGCATGTGAAGACATGGACATGTATGTATATTATATAGTGTAAGTTGAGCAGGGTATTGGTTCTTAGACCATTTGTACTTAAGAAAAAACATGGTTCTAACATTATATGGGTGAACAATATTATAATTCATTATTCATATAACCAAATTTTGTTTTTTTTATTTTATTTTATGGTGTCATATATTAGATTCCTGGTTGGAAGGTATCTGGTGGGATTTTGATGTTGTAAACCTCTGTACCCTGTATATTGGATCTTTTGATTTGATTTCATCTTGATTGATCTGTGTATTACAAGTGTGTATTACAAGTTTTGTATCTCTTTGCCTTTCTCTTCTTCTTTAGGGGGGTCTGATAGGGCTTGCAGCTGCGACAGTGGGTTTGACATCGGAAGCCGCCCAACATCTTGAAGTAAGAGCTAATTTGTTTTCATGATTTGAAGCAACACTACTTGTGAGTTAGTCTTATGTGTGAATTATGACCGTCTTTTAAATTTGTATCTAGAGTGCTTAAGACACTGAGCTTCAGTAAGTTTCTCATTTCTCTTCTAAATGGGGAATTTTGGGGTGGTGAAATATCATTTATGTGCATTATGAAAGCTTACATAGCCTCCTTGTTTGGTACATTTGTGCGAAGAAGTAAAATGTATGTGACAAGCATATTGTCTTAGATCTGGCTCATATACAATTGGCTTTACTCTGCTTTGTTAATGTCGTAGGTTTAATTTATTCCCCGATTGATTCTCTCAAAAAAAAATTATTCTCTGATTGATTATAGATTATGGGAATAATCAAGCTAAAGCCACATTTTTGGCTTGTATTGGTCAAACAGCTGACTAGGTCTCTCACTCTCTCTCTCTCATATTAATGCACTCCTTTGCAATTATTAAAAAATTGATATTCTTCATTATAACTATGCAAGTAAAACAAACGCTCTCCTCCTTTGTCTTCCATAGTTATGCAGATGCACCATGAGAAAATGATCGCATGATCCTGAACAGATCTTACCTGTGATTGCAAATCCCAAGTTTGTCCTTTTTGTAGCTTCTCAACTTATTTTGGACTTTCTAACTTCATACAATCTTTACTAATTGTTAGCCTATCTAGTGTTCTTGTATGAGAAACTTCCCAACAATTTTCTGTTCTTTTACTGTAAAGAGAGAGAAAGACAGCAAAAAAAAGGTTGAGAGAGGGTGGGGGAACATCACTTGGGGGTGGTAGGGGACTAGGTTCAACATAAGGATCATCTCTTTGATTCCTGTCCTGGACCAATTCTTTTGCCAGTCCATTTACCTTCTTTGAGATATGATGGACTTCAATAACACCAGCCAACCTCCATAGATATGGGCTCTGTTTGCTTGCCATCTTGTCACATTCTTAGACTCCTGTTCCACCATTAAAGGATCTAAAAGATTTTGTAAGCAGATTTTGAGCCCTGTGAGAAGGGCAGCTGCCTCTGCCCCTTTGCAGATCATGTCCCGTGGGTTTACAGACACAAACTGAGTGGTTGCGAAATGGGCTCGTAACAGCTTGCGCAATCCCCTAGAGGCCTGTATTTCCAAATGAACTTCATTAAATTCAACTTCAGATAACCCCTTGGTCACACTTATTTCTATGTGCTTGACGTAACTTCATTCCACCACCCGCCATCATCGAGCCATATCCTGAGTGCTAGTGCCTTTAAATCGCTTCATTGCAAGTGCCCATGCAGTACTTATATTTGGAATCCTCTCCCACAGTTCTTGAGCTCGAGTATTTACCTTCAGATGGTTGTTTGTTTCTGTCAAGCCAAATGCCCAAAAGATAGCTACACAATCCAAAGGGTTTCATCTTTTTGTGAGTACAGGTAGGAGCTCCATATAGTTAAAGTGTTGACTATTGATTCTGGGGGAACACAACAGAAATCAATAATCCCAACATATCGTTCCAAAACTCACATGCAAAGGGACAATGGACCATCAGATGGTTAGCACTCTCCTCCTTGGCACAAACATGCTCCATCCATTAGGAATTGCATACCTCGGTTTTGCAAGTGTTCTTCTGTACATACTTTGTGGATTGCTGCCAGCCAACCATACAAAGGACTCTTGGAGGGGCAGGGATACTCCCTATCAAGCAGGCTGGAGAAGTTGACTTGTTCATCCATGATAAGGTACATCAAACAATGATTTTAGCAAGAACAGCTCTCTCTGATTGTGTCTTCAAATCAGCACATCCCAACATTTGAGACAATCTATTTCCACTAGAACCTCTCCAATACTTCAGATACGTATAGACTTCTCTTATTAATGTTTCTTCACAATTTTGATATTACTACTAGATAATTCTATAATTTTCCTGAGTAACTTACACAACTGGGAGAACTCTATGTTCTTGATTGCCTAGAGAGGTTCTTCAATGCAAAACTAAACTGCTTGGAATATGAAAAGGGCGTGGGTCCATATGGTGGAGGCTGGGTTTTCATAGCCCAACATCTCAAGTTCCATTCGTTTGTAACGATGTCAGAAAAAAAAAAAAACAAAAGCTAGACTGTTCGGAACTCTATACTCATGCATATTTCTCTTAGAATATAAAAGCCTATTGTCTAGGCAGTTTTAACTACCAACCCCATTGCCCCCCCCCCCCTTGTGTGTTCTCACATGTACTGGAGGGAGTTGAAAGTCCTTTCTCTTTGGAGAAAAAGAAAGAGATCTTTATTTCTTGAAGCCCTAAGGGAAGCAACTTAGATTTCAAAATTTCCATGATTAGTTAGCTGTTGCTCTGAAGTCACTTGGAGTTCCAATTCTCCACCAGTAATTGATTGATTTCCCTCTTTTCTCATTAAAAATTTCCAAATTTCTAGAACCTACAAGATTGTTCTAAAATTAAAATTTGATGGTGTCTTGGAGGTTTCCAAAACCAAAAATGCCCATTTGTTTGTATCATCTAACTTTGCTCTTTGACTGTGACCTTGTGGTCACATGTTCATTCTTCTAGAAAGTAAGTCCATGTTTTTTTATTCCTCATCTGGATGTGGTATTGTACGACCTCTCTCTCTCTCTCTCTCTCTCTCTCTCCATAGATATAACATCATACATATTTTTAAGCACATGTAGATGCACATACACACATGCATACACACCATATATTATAAAGTTATGATTGAATAATTGCAATTGAGTATTTATGAAAGGGTGTGGTTTCCATAAGATTGCAACCTTAAACAATCCAATTAAGGCACACCTTCAAATTTGATCATAACATATAATTTTGATGTAAAATATTCTTAGGATTATCTCAAAATCTAATTATAAAATTTTAAACTCCAAAAATGGTTAAAATCAAGTAGATCTATTAACATATGAAAATTTTGAAAATGGACGATCTAGATAATGTGTGTGTTGGATACACTATTGTCTGAACTCAAAATCCTTTTTTCTTTCATAATCATACATCTCGATGTCGAGATGCTCAATTAGAGGGTTTTCCAACATTGAAACAACCTTTTACAATGGATTTTTGAGGTGCATCAGTAGGTATTCTGGTTGCAACTGTCAAATTTGACTTACAAACCTCTTGTTGGAGAGATGATGTGTTTCTACTCTAGTTCCTAGATTTTGAGTATTTCTTATACTTAGTTTTTATACTAGACGGGATCAACATGGTCACCTTAAGTTTATCTTCACCTTCCATCTTAGGTATTCAGGTTGCAATTGTCAAATTTGACCTACAAACCTCAAGTTGGAGAGATGTTGTGTCTCACTCTCTAGTTCCTTGATTGCCTCAAGGCAAACGTAATAATAGTTTTCCTATTTTTTGCTAATCATTGATCTATCAGCAGTTCTACGCTGGTGACCATTCTTGAAACCCTCTTTACATCCCTGTAGCAGCTTAGCTATTTCCTGTTTTGAATGCTTTTTGTAAAGCTTCTGAGAAGCGCAATTGTGGAGTTGTCATTTTCTAATTCATACTTGAGAGAATCCATTTATTCCTTTGCCACTTCTCGGGACACATTTTTAGGTTGTTTATGGTAACAACAATGTCTCGATATATTCTGGCCTCTTTCTCCAAGAACATTGGCCACACGGACTCCTAACTTGCTGAGTCCATGGCACTCCTCTCTGGCCACAAGATGATCGTCCCCTCATGGGGTCAACCATTGATTGTTGAAGGAGATGCCCAAAACATTTTAACTTGGGCTGCAGGCTTTACTCCTCCTCCATGGTAACTTGCTTCGATTTATGATGAAATTATGCACACTTGCAGGGATACGGTCGTCTTATGGAAGCACATTTCGAGGGAATCAAGCGCCCTGACGGATCAACTGGCTAAAGATAGAGCGTTTTCAACTGTTTCGGGTCCATGAGAGCTCATCTTTTTTTTGGTTTCTCATGTCTCTCTATCCTACTTATAAAGGAGTTTTGGATTTCCTCGTTTTTTGGTTTCTTATGATTTTGTACAATCTTTAAATTGGGCTACTGTTATAAGCCTCACCCATTTTTTGTATAGGGCTATCCTCTCTAGGGAAGCCTATTTTTTGCCGAGGGGCCTGGCCTGTGCCCTCGACAGACTGTTGTAATCGTTAACTCCCTTGTAATACAACGGTTTAACAACATAAAAAAAAAATACACAACAATGTTTCAATATGGACACCTCCTACCAGGACGATTCGTGGTTTATACTTTGTACATCACTCGACAAAATCTAACTTATTAGATGTAGCCTATCTTTTGGAAACAACATGTATTCTGTTCCGGAATTGCTAGAAGGGAATCATTGATTAGCATCTTCCGATTCTGATCTCCTCACTGCCAGCCGGCATGATCTTTCTAGACCTAATCACTGCCTAAAACCGTCTTAACACCCTCCCTCAGAGGTAGCACTTATTCCCTTCTTTCCATTTTCTAACTGTTCGGAAGCTTACGAATCTTGGTGCCCTCATACTCTGATTCATACTCTTTAAATCTAGGTCTTTTGTACACTCTGATTCGGACTCGATAACATCCATAATTACTGGGATTTTCCATCTAAGGTGGCGTTCTCGCTCCTGTAACATGGTTCCACAATTTTGGACTAAAAAATTGTTCATATGCATTCCATTCTTTTGGAACATATTCCTTTTTTGTTTGGGAGCTCTTTTAACTAAAGGTGTTAAAGTATAGCCCCCTGTCTCTTTTAGTGGGCTCTATTGTTGGACCTGCAAAATGCGTCTCAAGGTACATTATGGGTCTTAGGGAAGGAGTATTGTTTAGTCATCATCATCATTTGAGCCTTATCCCAACTATTTGGGTTTGGCTACATGAATCCTGTTAAGCCATTCCGCTATATCAAGATCCATAACCGCAGTTAGACCATAGGTCACCATATCTATTCTCACTGCTTCTATTCATGTCCTTTTGGGCCTTCCGTTACTCTTTTAGAGCCTTCCACTCG